TAGACTGCACAGTCCTCCTAGCTGACACCCACGTTCAGGGGACCTATGTTGGTTTGGTCCTATGTTGGTTCCCCAGATGTCAGATGGGTCCATGAGTTCCCACTTGTTCAGGTTAACTGTTTCTGTGGGGTTTCCCAGGGTGACGTTGAACCCTTTGTTTGTCACTCTTCCTCTCTGCAACTGGATTCCAGGAGTTTGGCTCAATGCTTAGTTGTGGATCTGTGCATCTGCTTCCATCAGCTACTGGATGAAGGCTCTAGGATGCCATTTAAGGAAGTCCTCATTCTCATTATAGGGGAAGGGCAATTAAGGGAGCCTCTCCACTATTGCTTAGGTTGTTAGTTGGGGTCATCCTTATGGATCCCTGTACAATTCCCTAGTGCCAGATTTCTCTTTAAACTTATAATGGTTCCCTCTATTGATGTGTCTCTTTCATTGCTCTCCTCTATTCATCTCCCCATTCAATCTTCCCTATCCCTCACATTCACCTCTCCCTCCTCTTCTCCCCTCCTCTTCTTCCTGCTCCTTCCCCCTCCCCCATGCTCCCAATTTGTTCAGGGGCTCTGGACTAAGGAGTTTTAATTATTACATTCAAGTTTTTATTCTGACTTTTTAAGATTCTCACTATGTAGCCCTGGCTGACTTAGAACTCAGAGATTCACCTGCCTTTGCTGTGATTTAAGGTGTGCACCACCATAACTGGCATGCACAGGGCCTACACAGATCTGCAGCATGTTCTCTGTGTATATATTAGCACTTCAGTTTAGTGGTTTCATGGCATTCCTTGGTTGTTCTGGTTCTTGTGCCTTTTTTGGGGCTCTTGTCCTTCTGTTAGTTTCTCTAGTCTAACTTCAATGTGATAGTTTTTGTTTTATCTTATATATTTTGCTATTTTTTAATAAATGAATGAAAACCTAGCCAGTAGAATAAAGATTAACAACTGTTATACCTTCTGGGAGAGGGAAAATCAGTTTTCTCCAATAGAGTAATCAGTAGAATATCAGACCTCATGTTCAGGAGTGGTTGACCAACACAGGGTTTTGGGGAGGGTACTTTTATTTGGTTACAGTTTGGTGATTTTTTTTCACTTTGGGTGTATTTTTACATTGTCTTCTTGGTTTAGGGGGTTGTTGTTGCATTTTTTTTTTAACTTCAAGTTGGGTAGGTAGTAAGAAGGAGATGATTTGCAAGGACTTGATAGGGAAGAACATATGTGTGTGTGTGTGTGTGTGTGTGTGTGTGTGTGTGTGTGTGTGTATAAATTTAAAAATTATTTTAAATAATAAAATATAAGAAATAAAGGAATGACCTACTCTTAACTAAAACTTATGACCAATAGCAGGGACTATGTTGCTACCAGATATACCATCGCATCCCACATGAGGAATGATACCCATATTGGGATTGCCCTTGCAGATGCTCCATCCTCAGATCAGCTTCAGTTCATGTCTTCCCCATTGCAATAGCAAGTAATTGCTCCTGTCAAACTCATCTTTATTTCTGTCAGGTCCCTATTTAGGTGCCATGTGTATGACTTTTCTTGTGAAGAAGTGGTACAGATATCTGTTAACCCTAGATACAGTGCTAAAGACAGACCAAAGAAATCTTTCTACCCATGTCTGACTTGGTGAGCCCATGAGTTTAACAGTGCTACTTATACAGGCATGGGCAAAGGATTACCAGCAGGAGCATGGGTGACTCCAAAGTAACTACATCACCAAAAAGTTTCCCCCTAAGATGGTGGTGCACACAAAGCTTGGTTACTGCAGTCCCTAAACAGCTTGCAGACAGCACCCTCAGGAAGACTACTTCTGCAGTGATTTTTTTTTTTTTTTTTTTTTTTTTTGCTGCTTACATCACCTTTCAGAGGGAACTCTTGGGTAATAACTTACTGCGATCCTGATGAGAACATTTTGTGAACTTTCTAAGTCATATGAGTCTTCCTTGTTCTTCTAGGAGGGAGTGTTTCAGTTCAGAGGAAACAGTGATTCATGAATCAACAGAATTAATACTATTAAAAGAGCTATAGCCAAAAAAGGATTTACAAACTCAATGTAATTATCACCAAATTTCCAGTAACATTCTTCCCCAGTACAGAAAAGGAAATTCTAGAGCTCATATATAATATAAAATACACAGAATGGCCAAAGCAACCATGAATAAAGGGAACAGTGTAGAAGTCATCCAATGCCTTATTTGTTAAAAAAAATTGTATTAACAGGCATAATATGATTCTGGCAGAAAAGAGACACACAAGCCAATCAATGGAATAGACTGAGGAGGTCTAGAAATTAGCCCGTTTGCTACATTCATCTGTGTCTTGACATTGGAAAAACACATTCTCTTTAATAAGAAGTGCAAATGAAAACTGGATGCCCATATGTAGAATACTGAAATTGATTAATAACTAAAACAATAATCAAGCAGGAAACTAATATTTAGAGCATAAATGACCAAAAGGCAAACAGCAAATGGGCAGTGGAAATTAATTGCCACTTTTAAGGTAAAAAGTACAAATAATACATGAAACAAAAGGTTCAAACTTAGCCATCAGGAAAATGCAAATCAAAACTACAGCGAGATTCAATTTCACCTCAGTCAGAATGCCTGCAATCAAGAAAATCACAAATAATTCTGGAAACAATACAGAGGAAAAGAACCCTTATTCACTGCTGATGAGGTTGTAAATTAGTGTAGCAACTATGGAAATCAGTACGGAACCTTCCACACCATTATATGGAATCTACCTGGAAGTCAATCAGTAAATAAAGAAAAGATATATATATATATATATATATATATACATATATATATATATATGCACATACACACACACATATATGTATGTATGTATATATATAAAATGGAGTTTTGCTCTGCTATTAAAAAAATGAAATTGTGTCATTTGTAGGAAATTGGATGGAACAGAAGATAGTCATGTTATGAAGTAATCCAGACCCACATAGCAAGTAAAAGAAAAAGCATACCTTTCATATGCTTAAAAACTACGTATGTAAAAGAAGGAAAAAGGATAGTAAGAGAGTATAGGGTGATTATGATCAAAGTACATCATTTGCTTGTATGGAAGTGTCATAATACTTTGTACAAGTAGTACAAACTTGAAAAAAATTCCAGGAGGAAAATTCTCCTATGTTCATAGGATTATAGACCAGACATCTTGTCCAAACAATTTTAAGATAAAGTTCATTCAGAACTAGAGAAGTTGAGTGTAGCAAGTCTGTGGTAAAACCAACTCCAGGGAATAATAGCCTCTCTACCTGTGCATTCTCAAATGCAAAACCAATTCATTGCAGCTGAATAAGAAGAAGATTCATATAAAGTCCCTCACAGAAGGGGGAAGGGACAAGTTCCCCAGAGCACAAGGGAAGTGGCGGGGGGCAATGAATGGAGAGAGAAGTAGGAGAAAGAGAAGGGGAGGAGAGGAAAGCACGTGCGACTAGGAAGATTGAGTCAGGGTAGGAATAGAAGACAGGAGAGTGGGAGGGAGAGAACATAAAAGAGGAAGCCATTGTTGGTTTGAAGAGAAAACTGAACCTAAAGAAAGGTCGAGAGACCTACAAGACTGCCGCCAACTAACAATTTGAGCAACCGTGGAAAGGCTACCATAAATGCCCTCCCATATAGTGAGATCAACAACTAACTTATCCACCATCATGGAGCCCTCATCTAGTACCTGTTGGAAACAGAAGCAAACACTCATAACTAAACACTGAATCGAACTAGAATCCAGATGCAGATGGAGAGGACAAGACCAGGCGGCAGAAACACATAGTGACAGCTGACCTGAACAAGGAGGAACTAATGGGCCACCAAACTGAAAGCTGGGAATGCAGCATGGGACTGACTCAGGCCCCCCTGAATATGGGTCTCAGCTAGAAGGACTGAGCAGTCTAAGGGACTTCAGACAGTGAAATCAGGATGTATTTCCTAGTACACAAAAGGACCTTGTGGACACATCCTCCATGGAGGGATAATGCCTTAACCTAGAGACAGGAGAGAAGCCATAGTCCCTGCTTCACATGACCTGTCAGATCTACATGACCCCAACTGGATGGCATTGCCCTACATGTGGAATTGGGGTGGGGGGATGGGAGGGGAGGGTGGTCAGGGTGCATTGAGGGGGAAGAAAGGGTAAGAAGGAGGGAGGGAGGGAACGAGGGGGAACTGGGATCGACATGTAAAATAAAAAAAGTAATAATAAAAAAAGAAAGAAAAGAAAATATATTAAAAACAGAAGAAGAAAATCCCATCCCATTGTGTATCTCGTTCAGCCTCCTTTTTGATACACTGATAAATACAAAAAGAGATTCCTTATTCCTATAGCTTAAAAAATAACAGGTTTGTGTATTCTTTGGGGGCTTGGAGTGTGGCTCTTTCATACTTGCAAAGTATTTGGGAGGCCCTGTGTTAAATCACCAGCAGTACACAAAATCTTGATAAAAATTTCCATATCAAGTACATGACTTGTAGATATTTTCTCACATTTTGTAAAATAAATTTCTTTTCGTTGATGGTGTTTTATGTAGCATTCGAGTTTTTATGAATTTTGACGAGGTCCTGTTATCCAAATCTTATTAGTATTGATACTTTGTTGTGAGTTTTGGGGGGTTGTGTTTTTTTTTTTAATTGTGTTTTCTAGACAGGGCTTCTTTGTATAGCCCTGGCTGCCCTGGAACTCACTCTGTAGACCAGGTTGGCCTTGAACTCACAAAGATCCACCTGCCTTCCGAGTGCTGGGATCAAAGATGTGTGCTACCATCACCCAGTTGTTAACATGTATTTTTAAAGCATAATCTTTAAAACAGAGTCATCAAGATTTCTATCTTCATATTCTGATTTTTCTAAGAATTTTATTATTTTAGCTTTTGTGTTTAGAGCTCTAGTTCATTTTGAATTAACTTTTGTACATTCCTTGAAAACTCAGCTTCATTCTTTTGCATGGAAATGTCTGATATTATGTTTGCTGTTTTTCATTTTAGGCCCCAGCACAGTGTTTACCAGGGCAGTGGCAGTGGGGGGTTCCACAGGTAATATCCACCTCCAGTGTCTAATTCACAAATCTTTCTTTTCACTGTGTTTATTAGAATCCCTGAAAACGAAAGTCAGGATAACTAGGCTTATAACATTCCTCTACTGATAAGTGTTTCCTTTAACTACTGCGCTATCATCCTCTCCTTTGTAAAGACATGCAGTGGTGTTTCCTTACCTACCCCACAACTTCCTCATTTGTAAAATGGTTGTAGTGAGATTAGAACCTCATTACATTTCCTTCTATGATTTTTGGGAGAGTGAAATGAGGTCATATTAGTGGGAAACATTTTATAAATAAGTACTATATGAACATAAAAAATAATTTGACACTTTTGTTTGTGTAGGAAATGTTGGCATTTTTCTAGCTTCATTTCAAATTTTTGCCTTAGTTTGTCTCGTGCTCCTAAATAAAAATAGGTTGAGTATCCCCTTATCAGAAATGATTGGTACCAAAACTGTTTGACTATTTTAGATTTGGGGATATTTCATTGCTTTTATTAGATAAACACTCCTAATCCAAAATTCTCTCTAAAATCTGTACTTTTTTTTCAATTTTTTTCCTAAGAAATTGTATCCTACCAAAAAAAAAAATTGGTAGTATTTTCTTACATCTATGTGAAATCACAAAATTGAAAGTAGACACTTAGACCAGTTTAAAGGTCATACTACTATAACTTTTAATGATAGTAATACGTTTACAATTATTGCCTGTTTCTGTGAGAGGCATTATAAACGTTCAATACTTGCCATTAATAAAGTTCTTTAATAATACCTATACACCTGGAATGTATGAAAACTCTGATTTCCTTGTCTGTTTCTAAGACAATTCTATGCTATCCATGAAAAATAATTTTAAGAAAATATGCAACAAATATTTTTTTCATTTTAGGGTAAGTCATTTTGTCTTACCAGAAATAACTAATCACACTTGAGTAACAAGGATTGTTTTGTGTTTTAGTCTCCTGCCTCTTCTGCTCCATTCTTGTATCTGCAGCCCTCTGAGGTTATTTATCAACCAGTAGAAATTGCACAAGATGGTGGCTGTGTCCCTCCTCCACTGTCTCTGATGGAAGCTTCCGTACCAGAGGTACACATTCATGTTTTTCTTTGTGCTTCATTTGTTCAGGATTGGAATTGTACCCAGGGCCTTGTAGGTTCTAGAAAACTCACTGCAACTGAGGTACATACTCAGCTGTGTTTGTGGTGAAATGATGGATTAGTAACCATCTTGTATTCATTGTAGTTCTTTTTTACTTTCTTAAATTTGCTTATTTTATGTTTTCTGTGATTTATTCATATCTACCATTTTTATTCTAAGAGTGTTGCATCCTCTTAGAACTTTTCAGTAACTACTGAATCACTTTCCAAGTTTCTTTGAAGGTTTTGAGCTATCAGATATTTGCACCTACTCATTTTCTTGTCAGTCTGTGTTGTTGCTAATAATTTGCCAGTTAAAAACATATAATCTTTAATGTAAAATTGTTCTGTAACAATATAAATTAACTGCAAATTAAAATATCTGCAATGTCTTTAAGTGTGTCACTAATAGCACCATCCTTGTGCAGGAACTGTGCAGGTAATGTGCTATGTTTTAAGTTGGCATCTAGTCAACAGTATTGTTTTGTTATTTCTATAGTACTGAAGCTTGTAACATAATTTTATCCTGGAACACTAATTTCCAGTTAGATCTGTTTTTACTCTCCATACTTTTACTAGAATGTCTCCGTTTTTGTCTCGTCCTCCATTTACTTTTTTGTATTTCCTCTTTTCCAGATTTAGTGAAATGTAATTGAATATAAAAATTATACTGTAAATGTTTATTAATTACATATTTTGTAATTATGTGTATTCTAAACTAATTACCATAGTCAGGGTAATTCATCTCTTCTTGTCATTCATTTTTGTTTGTAGTGAAAATGTTTAAGGTGTCTCAGCAGTTTCAAGTTGATAACCCATTATTATTTCTCATGGTCACTATGCTGTATGGTGACTCTCCAGAACACTTCCGTACTTTCTGTATGGTGACTCTCCAGAGTCCTTTCTGTTCCTATCACTACTATTTGAACAGCATCCTTCTTCCAGCCCATGAAAACCACTATTTTAGTCTCTGCTTCTGTGAGTTTAGCTTTTCAGATTCCACAAAGAAGCACTAAGAAGCAATTATCTTTCTGTAACTTGGCTTATTTCATAGTATAATGTCTTCCAGGTTTATCCATGTATATCATGGTGACAGAATTTCCTTCTTTTTAAGACTGAACCATATTCTGTTGTTCATAGCCCACATTGTCTTCATCCATCATTGAACACTAAAGTTGATTCTATATCCGTGCTACTGAGTAAGACAAGAATATTGGGGAATTTAAGCGAGGTTCTAGTACTAGAAAACAAACCCAAAGCTTTGTGTACTGTTGAGCAAATACTCAACATGAAGCCACATTTCCAACTCTTCCTGTTGTGAATAATGCTGCAATGAGTTTAAGAGTTCAAATCTCTGTAACAAGTTGGGTCATGTGTGGTGTGTGTGTGTGTTTGTGTGTGTGTGTGTGTCCCCAGAAGTAAGGATGTGTGTGTGTGTGTGTGTGTGTGTGTGTGTGTGTGTGTGTGTGTGTGTGTGTGTGTGTGTCCGTCCCCGTCCCCAGAAGTAAGGATATGTTGAATCATATAGTAGTATTTTTTTTTTTTTTTTAGAAAACCACATGCTGTTTCGCTTAATGGCTGTCCTAATTTACATTCACCCCACTGTCCACACCCTTGCTAGTGATCATTTTAGTTCTTAGAATAATCTCTTCTCATAGTAGGTTCTCTGTATTGAGATGTAACAATTAATACTTAATTCTAACCTTCACCCTGTTTTACCTCTGGCAGCTAGAAGCCTATAGTGTAGACAGGAAGAGTTATACAAACACCATTTCTCCTTGAGATTCCCTCCTTATTGTTCAGCATTGTAAAACTGGATCTGTGTTTTTACCTTGGCCCAACCATACAGGATTCTAAAGCATCTTTGGGTAATCTTTCATTGACATCTAGGGAACTCTTCATTCTTGCTGAATAAAAACCTCAGAATCCTCCTTATGTTTGTCCAAATTGCATAGCATAGGTACGCATACAGTTTGTGATTTGGAAACCATGGATGTTTTCTTATTTAATTGGTGATGAAATTTCAAAGTTCTATCTTTTATTGTTTTCTTACCTTCTGGCTTGCCTAGAGGTGGGAGTCAAGTAAGAATTCTTTCACATTAGATATTTCACCAAAATCTCCTTTGGGATTTAACCATACTCTTAATCCCTGTCATCAGACATTCACCATCAGTGTATATTCACTCCTTATCCAATCTAATAAGTTTTTCCTAAAACCATTGTTGTGACTGTGTAGCTTGTACTTTACATGGTACTCCCTTACTTAATGACACCTGTCTTTTATGCTGGTGCTGTTTCCAACAGATTGTATACTCTTATTAATTTAATAAATAGACAATCGTGGTTTATAGTTTAAGTGGTTTTTTTTTTTTTTTCACAATTAAAACCTGCAGGATCTACAGCCGGGCGTTAGTGGCACATGACTTTAATTCCAGCACTCAGGAGCCGAGGCAGGTGGATCTCTGTGAGTTCGAGTCCAGCCTGGACTACAGAGTTAGTTCTAGGACCGGTTCCAAAGCAATACAGAGAAACCCTGTCTCGAAAAATCATAACAATAAATAAATAAATAAACCTGCAGGACTTTTGTTATGAATGTTATGATGTTATGAATGTTAGATTTCCTAAAAAGAAAACAAGCATGTTAGTACAATCAGTCACTTATTTCACTCACCATCAAACTGCTACCATAGCTTTACACTACAGATTCCCCCATTTCTGTCTTAGAATTAATCTGTGCTTTCTCTTTCATAGAAGTTGAAACCAATTCACAAAAAAAAAAAAAAAAAAAAAAAAAAAACTTAGCCTTCAACTCCCAACAAATGAACTTAAACAGGTCCTAATGCACCCTTATGGTTTTTTATATTTACTTGATAACTTGGTCTTGTACAAGGTTGTTTCTACCTGTTGTGCTCTGGAAACCTTCACTTCCTTCGTCTCATGGGATTCCCAGTCCACCCTGTGGTCCATTTCCCCCCTTGTATTTTAAGTCCGTCTCTGTCCACTGGTTCACAGTTTCACTGCTTTATTGTGATTGTTAGGGAATTATTTAGCTTCCACAGTCATCTTCTCATAATGACCTTATTTATACAAATGAAGCAAGGCATCAAGAAAACATATTACAGTATTAAAGGATTAAAGCTATTTGATATAAAATTCATTGAGTATCTGTAGCACCTTTGAGAGGTAGCTATGATCTTTTTACACATTCTTTCCCAGATCCCCTAATTCTCTTCTGCCTTTAAAAACTAAGATTCTTGAAAAGATAGACTGTGTTCAATATTTATAATGTCCATACCATTTCATTCTACACCTGCTGAAGTTCTTCATTATCTTCATTATCTTTTTGCATAAACTGCCATTGAGAAGATTTCTTAATGACATCCTGACTACTAAATACTTTCCTCTCCTTTTATTCTTATTTAACCTTTCAGGAATGGCATACATTACATACTTCCTGATCTGTCTGACAGCTGTGTTTACACAGCACTGCCCTCTTCTGGAACTCCTTTACCAGCTTTGATTTTCCTTTGTAAGCTGATCTTTTTGCTCCCCATCATTTCTTGTTTGGTTCTCCATTCTTTCACTCTACATATTCAGTGTGATATTATCCTATCCATATCTCTAATATCAGCATCATGCTTGAGTTTTATACCTCAGTAGCTGAGATAATAGTCGTTATCTGTCTATAGCACTTGAAAGGGGAAAAGAACAAATAGAAATGTCCTGTAAGTGTAAAATATGTATCAGGTTGTGAAGACACAAAACTAAAATGTTTACAAATTCAACGATTGAATAATTAGTATACTTTAGATAATATTTTGAATCTATTGGTTTAAATACACACTTATTTTATTATCCATTCATCTGTTGGTTGGTAACCAGGCTGATTCATTTCCTTTCTATTATGACTAGACTATCAATAAACATGGTATGAAGTGTCTCTGTATAAGTTATAAAATCACTTGGATATATGTCCAGGGTTGATATAGCTGTGTCTTACGGTACATCTATTTTTAATTTTTTGAGGAACCTTTGTACTTATTTCCACAGTAATGGTACTTAAACTAACACCAACAATAAAAGGTTCTTCTTTCCCCACACCCTTACCTGCATTGGTTACCATTTAACTCTACTTTTAAATAATCTGCCCTCTGTTAATTGGTCTCTTGCCTAATTGCCCCCCCTTTAGTATATAGTGTTATTTCCAAACAACCTAAGTAGGTGTCCAAAAAGAGATGGCTTACTTACACTGTCCCTCACTGTGTCAGCAGGTCTTTAAGTGAAATATCAGTGCCACTAGGAAATTTCTTTATGACCATCTTCCCCAATTTTCATAAGCATAGTTTTTAGTATTTTTGAGAATTCTTTATTCCCTGTGCATCATACACATGACTCACAGGACATGTAATGTTTAGAGTAGTGTCAGTTTCTTCATCAGACTACAAGTTCATTAAACATAGTAAATGGGGTTTTGTATGTGGCACAAGGCATATCACATAGTAAGTGCTGACTAAATATTTTAATAAATGAACATAACACTTCTTTTTTGTCTGCCCTCCTCTCACTTCCTCGCTGCCTCTTTTGTAACAGCCATATTCTGACCATGGAGTTCAAGCAGCATATCACCAGGTTTATGCTTCCAGCGCCATTGCTATGCCTGCACCTGTGATGCAGCCTGAGCCGATTAAAGTAAGGAGTGCATTTTGAGTTCTTTCTGTTATTCTTCCATTATGCTCTGAACATTTTTATCCCAACTATGATCCAAAAAAATACAAAATTAGTGAATTATTTTATATGGAGGAAATAAATTCTAAATTAACCATAATTCCTATTAACTAATTTTGAAATATTGTAAACCATTCATGATCAAAATGTTTTATTTGTTGTGATATAGGGATACATAAACTTAAGTTTATCATTTTAACTATTTTAAGTGTCTTTAATTATGTTCACAGCACTGTGAAAATTACTACCAGAATTTCCAACCTTTTCCATTACCACAAATAGAAACTCTGTTCTCATCACACAATAAACCCTCCTTCCTTTTTGTCTTCATTGAAGTCCCTGGTAACCTTCAATCTACTTTTTGTGTCTAATTATCCTGTCGTGGATATGGCACATAGCATTCTCTGTGTCAATAATACATAGTATTTGTAGGGAGATGAATCTGCTAATCATCTCCACTTTATGTTTAAGAATGTATTTGTGTTCTCTGAATCAGATTCAGGACAAAGAATAGTGTATCACCCAATTAGGTCTAATTTAATTAGATTCGTGTTTATATTCTCTATATTTTAGTCATCTGTTGTGAAGCAAGAGGTTCTCTCCCTTTTTTCCTGGGTTTCTTAGTAAGGCCCAGGGTCATCATGTCAAAGAAATGAACTTCATCATAGTGAAGAATTGCAGATTGATTAACTGTTTATGGTGGTATTAGGAATTTTTGTTCATTTTAGTTTAGTGGAATAAGGAAGAATACTCTGCAGTAAATGAAAAAAATAGTTATTTTGCACTCATATTTATGACTCTGATCTATCAGAGTTGAACTCTATTGAGGATCCAGCCTCTAATTTTTTGTGCTGCCCTCACTCCTGCCCACTAACACTCACTGCCATGACTTCCCACTGCATCCCTCCATTTTCTGTGCCATTGTACTATGGATATGAAATAAGACCCCAATTTTGGTTTCACATTAAAATCTAGAATGTTACTAAGACTCACTTCTAGAGGCTTCATTTTCAATATTGTTAGAAAATCTTCTAAAACAGACTGCCCCTAACGTTAATATCATCAATTGCTGATACATGTGTGAATATGGTGGATTGAATATATATGTCAAGGAGTAAGGGAGGGATAGAGGGGGACATTGAAATAATTGAAATTATAGCTTAAATAATTCAAATAGGAAGTAGAGAGGTAAGTGGTACTATAATGCGCATTTAAAGTCGGCTTTTCTGCTTGAAGACTATGCACATCTCTAAGTCCTCTTTACTCTTTAAGTAACATCAGAAACTATAGAAAGAAACTCACCTTACTCTTAAATTTACTCATATAGGAATTACTCTTTTGTTGAACATTGAAAAAAATTAATACATTTTCAAATGCAAAACTGGAATGCGAGGTTATTCTATAAAAAGTTTTATACTTTTTTGTGTGTTGCAATAAAAGGTAGAGTTTCCTATGTATCTAACCCCCAAAACTTTTTGGTAGTGCCAGTCTTTGATCCCATGGCCTCATACATCTTGGCAAGCACTCTACCACCAAAGTACTATAATCAGAAATTTAGTACAGAGTTCCCTCTGCATTATTTAATTAATTGTTCTTCAGTGATTAGTGGCTCTCAGTAGAAAGCTATGTCTGTCTCTAGGACAGAAACTCCACTACCATTTCTATAGTCATGTAGAACTTCCAAACAGTGCTTTACTGCATAGATTATCCACCTTCGATTGTACTGCATTTGTATCATAGACATAGAAATCTTCATAGGCAAATGTTACATTATTAGAAACATCTTTTTATAAGACATATTTAAACAAACTTTAAAATATTAATGGGGACTTGAGATATCAGCTATTTTCTTCTTATGTAATTTTTTCCTGGTACTAAAAGTCTGTCTTTTTCAGAATTTGGATCTTTTGATTCTTTTATAAGCACAAGTCACTTTGAAAACTAATGAGAAGGTTGATGTTCTAGTTTCATCTGTTGCTACAATAAAATACTCTGAACAAAAATCAATCTCTCAACATACACAGTTTCAAGTTATAGTTCCATCATGTTGAGGAAGTCAAAGCAGGAACTCAAGTAGCTAGTCACATGACAATCGCAGGTCAAGAGCAAAAAGAGAATAAGTGTGTCCTTCCTTGTTTGTTCCTTTGTGCTTAGCTTTCTTCAGTCTTGTACAATTTAAGGACCAGCCCCTTAAATGTGTCACCCACAATGGATGGGATCTTCCGACATCAATAAACAACTAAGGCATACCACAATACAACCTGATCTTGGTAATTTCTCATTTAAGACTCGTCCCAAGCAGTTCTAGGTAGTATCAAATTGACACTTAAAAGTTTAACCAACACAGTTGATAAATGGGTGCTGTGCTAGTGTTATTTCAATGGCAATAGCTAGGATAAAATACCCTGATAAAGAGGAACTTTGAAGAGAAATTGGTTTATTGGGCTTGCAATTCCAGGAAAGTCAATACAGGAACTGAAGCAGCTTGTCACATCCACTGTTAGGAATAAAGAAAAGTAATGCATCCTTGCATGTTGTTTGCTTAGTAGCCCTGCCCAGGGAATGGTGCCACCCACAGTAGGCTGGATAAGTTAGCAGTCAAGATAATTCCCCACAAACATGTCCAAAGGACAACCTGATCTAGGCAATTTCTGATTGAGAATCCTTTCTTGGCAGTTTTGGGATATGTCGAGTTGACGTGTAAAAACATCACAGATAGTAACTCATACTTAGTAGTAAAGGTTCTGATGGACCATTGCACAGTAGGTTACTATGGATTGCTGGAATGAAAGTTCAAATGGACCATTGCATAGTTAGTGGGTAACTATGGATCACAGGACTGTACTGTTTGTTTGTTTGTTTTTAAGCTAGAAGAAAGAACTTTGGATATTTTACCATTAATAAAAAAAAGGACAATGTGGACTAGAGAGATAGATTAGGTGGTTAAGAGCACATACTGCTTTCACAGATGACCTAATTTCTGTTTCCAGTACCCATATTGGATGGCTCTTTGGAAAGACAGAATTATTAGGAAGTAAATTGGAATGGGATTTGACTGCCACAGATTTTTCCCTCTATCTTGGAATTGCCACACACCTAAAAATTGCTGTCTATACAGAAATATTCTACTACCACTATGTTCTTCCATTCTTTTAATACCTCTATTACTTCTTATAAATCAATTTAGATGCTAAAATTGACTTATAGTCAGCTACTCCTGAGCATAGAGGAAGACAATAAAGTGTTATACTATAAGGGTCAAAGACTGGAAAGAAACAGTGATTTGTAGCTTCTAAGAGAGTATAAAACTATATGTGTTCTCCATAGTCAAACAATATTCCTTCAGTTCTATAACATGTTTTTACTCATAGAACTATACAATAGTAACCATGCAGTTAAACATTAGAAATGCATAGGTTCCATGTGCATAAAACTTTTTTGTTTATGAAAATCTAATATAATAAAGAGAATGATAGACTCAAGAAAGCAGTATATCTAAATTGTCAACTGGAAATAAACAAGAAATATCTGGGTTCAGTAGAAAACTGCTTACATATAACACATTAAAGGCAATGGTACATAGCTGTACCTCAACTTACAAGGTTGTATCTATCCCCAAAATATCATAAGATGAAAATATTACCTTACCAGCAGGAAGTAGTTTGGAAAGAACGACGCCCAAATTCCAAAATATTGTGTATAAATGTTTGTTTTCATTTAATTGGACTTTGTTATATAAAATTAAATAAAATAAAAAAAGACCATTAAAAAAAAGAAAATATTAAGACTGGAGTAATGGTAAGCACTTGCTCCTCTTGTGGAAGACCTGGATTCAATCAATCACAGGCACCCACATGGTGGCTCATAACCATCTATATAGCTCCAGCCCCGGGGAATCAAACACCTTTTTCTTAACCACTATGGGCACCAGGTATGCACATATACATTCACACAAATATTCATACACATAAGATAAAAGTAAATATTTTGAAAACAAAAATCAAATGTAATTCAAAATTGTATCTAGTTCACCTTGCCTAGCAAATTGCATAACTTAGCAACTCACTACACTACAGAGTATCATTTGTGTCCTTGTAATTGAATGGCTTACAGGAAAGTTGTGCTCAACATTAAGGGTATCATGATACATATTGAGTCCTGGAAACATCAAAATTTCAAACTGAACTGTGATTTTCACTGAATGAGTATGACCTTTGCACCATCTCAGATCAACGTATCATAAATCAAACCACAGTAACTTGGGTTCTGTCACTATGTTCCAGCTATATCAGATGCTCTAAAATAACTAGGAAATTAAACTTTTAATTAAGTTCATAATTTAATTGCTGATAATGTATAGTTTCTCATTTTCTTGCCTTTGCTCTTCCTAACATGTTGAAATTAAATCTAAGATGGTCTCCAAATAGTCAACCTGAATTTATATCCCTTATTATACCTTGAAATGTTAATGGTGATGGATGAAGAAATAAGGCCTATGTACAGTCTTCGGTATCTTTGTAGCAAGAAGGAATGCCAGACTGATTCTTGATGCTGTTACTGCTCCAATTACTTATTTAATCTCTGGGTTCAAGGAGGGTTTTTTTTTTTTTTTTTTTTTTTTAGATTATTGTGCATGTATGGGTGTTTTACCTGGATGTATGTATATGTACTAACTGTGCCTGGTGCCTCAGAGGTCTATAGATCCCCTGGACCAGATGATTGTGAACCACCATCTGGGTACTGAGGATTGACTGAGTCCTAGTCCTCTGCAAGAGCAACAAGTGTTATTAACCACTGAGCCAACTCTGTAGCCTTGTACATTGAGTTTTATTCTGGTTCAAAGACATACACAGACCTCAGGAGTCTACAAATAGGAGTGCATTACAGATTACTTTGTTTCCTTTGTAATCTATGTTAATCAGTCTTTTCATGTGACAAATGATTGAAAAGAACAACTTAATTTT